GGTTTGTTATGGCGATTTAAAGCATTACCTAATAAGAGGGAGAAAAGCAATGCTTTCGCAGAACACAATAATTTAACCGAAAAAATTATATTGCACAAACAAGCAGTATAATATCAGAACTAAGGTTATTTAAGTCACATGTATATGCCATTGAACTACCAAATTTAGTAAACTTTTTTGAGATGTTATTTTGCAAGTCAATCACTGCGTAGCGAACTGTTAAAGGCAATCATTGATGGCGTTAAAAAGAAAATACCAATTACCGAACGTTAGCCATACATGAAGGATGTAAAAACGCCGACATTTTGCCATGAATTTTAATTTAAATCCCTCACATTACGTAACCGTCCAGCAGTTCAACTGAATTTAATGTTTCAACTCTTCGGATATGAGTGAGTTCGCTGGAATAATTGCTTTGAGTTTGTCCGGGCAAACTTCAGAAGTTTAAAATTATGTACAATGCCATTTTCTTATGTTCCTTCTCAGTTTCAGTCTTTTTTTTTTCGATGAGACAGAATTTGTATTCGGTTCTGCTTCATGAAGTGTTATTTTAGAACTTTTGCTTGCTTTATCTCAGTTTAAAGTTTACTTTATTTCCATTGCTCGTATTAATTATTTACATCATTTCCACATATTTTAGGTACTGAAGTTGCTGATAATTGCAGCTTTTCGCGGGGATAGATACTATAAAAGCGATTAAATATTTGCTTTAAAACACTCAAAATAACGAGATATTAATGTAATATTTTAGACACACAATTACCTAAGTAAATGATGATTTTTGATAAAACGGCCCTTTAACAAACATTAATTAATTGCCATTTTCAATGAAAAAATTGATGAAAAATGTTCGTTGACATTCAATTAGAGAGTTTTGCTAAACGCGGAAATTTTTTAATTTGATATTAGAACTTTTTCTATAGAATTTTAATTTCTATATTGTCTGTCATCTTCCATAATGAGCATATTAAAATCTCCTTATTTAGAAAAAGCAGTCTGCGTTTTACTTAGATATATTGCTTTAATACGAACTTAATAATATGGCCTCGGTTATGACAATAAAGCATGATTTGAAATTTGTTTTTGTTCCAACTAAAAACTATTTAATTATTAAGTAATATTAGATTTTTAAATAATCAGACGGACAAAATGAAAGCGATAATAAATATATTACAACAAAAGGGTATGGCTATCGCAACTAAGATTTCTGGAAACTGCTGAAATTTTTAAGCTTTCTGCTTTAAGCAGTCATGAAAAATATTGTCTTCCGAGCGTTCTGCAAGCACGAGTGGATTGCACCTTCAGAGATGTCTTGCGTTTTTGCCAATCCATCAAAATTCCCCAAATTCTACGTCATTTTCGTCTAAACAAAGTAATCAATGCAAATAACTGATTACAAAACACGTTAGAAGCTTTACTTTCGAAATAATCGACATATTTTACCTTTTTTCGAGCGATTTTTGAGCGGTCACATTCTTTAGCCGACAGTTTTCTTATTATTAAAATATTAATCCCCTCAAAATCCTTTGAATTCTACATCAATTTAGTCTAAACGAAGCGAGGAATTCAATACGCTCACTGGAAAAACACGGTCGAAGCTTTGATTGAAGAAGATCCGAAATAATCGACATTTACATGCACAGTGGGGGCTTCTTAGGTTGGAAATATTCCGTTCAGCTCAAAAAAACACGAATGTAAAATTTCGATTTTTGACCAAAAATTTGTCAAGGGATGAAGGTCGATTTTTTCAAAAAAGATTATTTTTCTCAAAATGCTCTGAATTCTACACCAATTTAGTCTAAACGAAGCGAATAATTCAACAAGCTGATTAAAAAACACGGCCTATTTTAAGCGATTTTTGAGCAATCACGATCTATCAGCGCCTAACTTTTTCTTATGGACGTGAAGGACTGTGAATACGCAGATTAGGAAACTTATTAGGTCGAAAACAATTAATTTAGGTAAAAAACAGCCATGTGGAATTTGATTTTTGACCGAAAATTTCAGAAGGGGTAGAGGTCACTTTTTCGAAAAAATATCAATCCTCTTAAAATACCATCAATTCGTCATCATTTTCTACAAAAGGAAGCGAGAAATACAACGAAATCACTGAAAAATATTAAAAGTTTAGGATAAAAAATATTTTTTTGGATTTTCAAGCAACATTTTTCTTATTCTTAGTATCAAACACTTTATGTATGTCCACAGCAAATTGTAAATAAAAATCAGTTTTCAGGTGACTTTTCAATACTTTATATAATTTGTAGTAAATTTCAAGAACATACTAAAAAAATTAGTCCTCCGGTAAAAATATCTACAGACGACCTCATCAATTTGCACCTAATTGCTTTGTGGCATGCCGCTTTCTAATGCCTGCTGATTTTTAAGTGCAAATATCTAAATTTGCCTTGCACTCCATATATTTACTCTATTCTATGTAAATTTCTCGAACCACGTTCATTAAATCGATCATTAAGCACTTGAACTTTCATATAAAATGCTCATTAATTTTTAGACGACTGTTGAAAGTTTAACATCGGCATTTTTAGTGCAGTTTATAAGCAATAGGAAGCCACTTTAAAGTGTAACAAGATCGCTAAATGTGTTATCGGTGTGGTCGTTTTTATGTTAAACATTGGTTTGTTTGTTTGAACTCGATATCGCAATGTAAAAATGTATTTAAATATAGGGAATTATTTCTAGCAAATTAAACGATCATGCTGATTTCACCAGCCCCTGATGGATTGTTGTCAGGGTTTGTCAAAAATTTCATAGATTAAATGTGTTTTATACATACAGAAAGACATTATCCAATTATCCAACACTTGAATAAATATGGCCATTGAACAAAGGCTTGATCATCTTTCTCTTAAAGTAGAATGAATGGAACATGTGTTTATGTTTATGCCACAGATGTTTATGGTAGATAAAAAGTGCTTCTTTAGGCATCATTAGTTAGAACACACAAAAAAATTTACGAGGAAAACAGCTTCAAAATTAACGCTGCGAATAGAAATTAGTTTCTTCTGACGGTGTATGCACAGTAAAGTGTATTTAATTATAATTTAAATACAGAAATGAGTGATAAAGAATACAGCCAGCCAACCAAATGTTTTTCCCAATGTTTGATTAAAAACGGCTTCAAAACAGTCGTTTCAGTAATATATTCGACCACTGTTTCGTAGACACCCTGTATATTATGTCTGATAAACATTTTTGTGAAATTTCATTTTCGAAACTTTCTAGAAGATATCTTAACAGTTGGCGATTGAATAACTTTGTTATATAATTAATAACAAAGTTGATTTTAAATGGTCCCATGTTTGATTGGTAGCCTATTGGAATATTTAAGCATTCAAATAGGTAAATACGATCKTTACTTCTAATTATGATAATTTTTTTGTATTGAAAAAGTACTCTTCTACAATTTTTTATCACCGCGTCAATATTAATATATAAAAAATCACGTTAACCAGGCTAAAACAAACAAACTAATGCCAAATTAACCGAAAGGAAAAGAACTGAAAACTGCGTGATAAGTAACCCACCAAATGACTATGGGCGCACTAGATAACCTCAATCAATGCGCGACAGAAAATCAATGTGTTGTGAGAAAATCAATGCGAACGGAAACAATCCAATAAGGGCAAAAAACGCGATTGCAAAATTTTGATTTTATAAGAGGTCGATTTTTCCAAAAAATTCAAGTTCCTCAAAATACCTCGAGTGATACATCATTTTCATCGGAAAGAGACAAGGAATGCAACG